GATAGATAGATAGATAGATAGATAGATAGATAGATAGATAGATAGATTTTGATGGTACCCACGTGATCTTGTAGGAGAACATGCTCAGCTCCTTGAGGTTCTCCCCTGTGACTTCCTCCGAGCATTTTCTGGATCGTTTGGGAGAGCAGGCTTTATTGGAAAGCAGTGGACCAGTGCTTTAACACAAAAAGAAAAAAACACAAACCTTTTCAAGACGTGGACCTTTTTTTTTTTTTTTTTGGTTGAGCAAAGTTTGAGCTAATGATGATATCGAGTAGAGGGTTAACCACACACGTGTGATCAAAGAGAATATAGACACTTTAATAAAATATAGGGTACATATTTAATAATACAGTAGGCTTATGAACAGTAGGACTGTATTCTAATTAAACATTTAACCATTAATACGAACACAGCGCTTTACACTCACACTTGTCTTACTTTGCACAGAAATGTGAAAGAAACATACATTAAGAGTACAAGAGAATGTTTAATGAAAAAGGGCCGAAATTTTTAACTTAATCAAATGAGGGGAGGGGGGGTGTTACTACTGAGCTTGCCGGTATTTTAATTACAGTCAAATCATGCTCCAGGCCTACCACGCAGGCTTGTTAGATCTCAGAATTTAACTGGTGAAACAGATCTTCCAGATAATTATGCATCTTGCCACATACATAAGTCACGAATAATGTTTCTATTCATCCCGACATACATTACACCTATAGTTTACATTCAACAAAAGACCCCAGTGAGGGCTACATTCAACAATACTGGTTTTTTGTGTATTTATTCGTTTTGTATTACTTTCCAGAAAAACAAATTACGCTCAGAAAACTGAAAAACGGAGATGTTGAAAAAATGTTTCCATAAAATCTTACATTACTTTAAACAATCTGGTCTTTTATTCAGATCGGGCTATCTGCTGTCTTTAACAAACACGGCCACACACTTTGTGTCCGGCTCTTAATCCGCTGCTCAGATGGAAAGACTGCAAACCGAGCCGCCCTTAAAAAACCACAACACCATCGAACTCAGTCCATATTTCGCTTTACGAGACCCAAAAGCACGACCGAGGACGTCTAAAAAATAGAATAAAAAAATCATACAACATTCACAAAGGTACAGAGAGCCGTGGTGAAAGAGCTGGCCGTCGGTTTGGACGCGGGGGGGGGGGGGGGTGGGCCACTGGTGCCCCTCCGAGGGGGTCTCAGAGGGAGGGGATGTTGTTACACTGCTTTGGTGGGAAGGAGTCCACGCCGCTGTGGCATGTGTACCACCCGTTCACGATGCTCTTCTGGAAGGGGGAGGCGGGGGAGAAGGTCCGTGGGCTCTGGGCGAACGCGTGGCCGGTCTGGGCGCAGGGGTACTGGGCGGACTGGGGCCTGTAGGCGCCCCCCCTCTGCAGCAGCAGCTGGGGCTCCAGGAGGGGCTGCGGCCGGTGCGCCGCGTAGTCCGGGCCGCCGTCGAACGCGTGGTGGAAGCGCGACCTCGGGGTGGACTCGTCCCGGCTCTCGGGGGACGGTGGCACATCCTGCGTGGCGCCGGGCGCGTGGGGGGGGCTGACCCGGGCCCCGGGCCGGCCCTCCCCGGCCTGGTCCTCGTCGCCCGGGCGCGCGTCGCAGTCCTTGGCGGAGGCGTGGGCCTTGTTGCAGTGCAGCTTCATGTGCTTGCGCAGGGAGCTCGGGTGCGTGTAGCACTTGTCGCAGCCCCTGACCTTGCACATGTAGGGTTTGTCGCTGGAGTGCACGTGAGAGTGCTTCTTCCTGTCGCTGCTGTTCGCGAACCTCCGGTTGCAGCCCTCGAACTCACATTTAAAAGGCTTTTCACCTATAGGCGAGCAAAAAAACAAAAAAGAGAGAAATCGGTTAGGAAAGTGCTTGCAGGCCCCACGCACGCTGCGCAAAGCAGTATTAACCGCTGTGCATGAAACCCACGCGCACATATTATTATAGAACATGTGACCCATGAACTGTGAGACCCCTGTGATGTCTGATCTTTCACTGTAACGGTCACACACGTTTTTCTACGTTTGCCCGAGTCTCTGAATCATAGTTCCAGCCAGTTCTTGAGACTTTGTTAGTCGTCATTGCAACAAGCAAGGCGGATCAACTGCATAAATCCACAAGGCTCCTAATAAACACATTAAGCAACAGTAACTACAATTCCTTGTATTTTATGGAGCATGGAGCATGTTCTGGCACAGAATTGCCCACAGATGCCCACCGTGAAGTCTCCCTGCATGACGTGCAACACACGAATAAACAAGTGTGTTCTGAAAACTCAGGTAAAACGTGTTCTCAGGGCCTATTTCTTAAAAAGAATGTTATTCTTTTGGAATAAATCGAACATAATTCGTCTCCCTGAAAGGCACGGCCCACCTTGGCAGTTTAAATGGCACTCGCGTCTGTTGTTGTGTCTCTTTTCTGTGTTTAATGGGTAAAACAACTGAGCTTGAATTATTGAGGAGTATTTCTGTCCAGTCTGAGAGCATGTAGGCCTCCATCTTCTAACTGTGGAATGTCCAAATGTCCCTGCAGGAGGGCTCCCTCCAATTAATCATTATGATGTTTGTGAGAATTAGATGAGGATGTTGTTGCGTGGTCACTCCTTTAAAATAGTGTGTTTGTGTCTTTGCTTCTATTTGTTGTTAGGGGGGAAAAAATAAATTCATTTTAAAATGTGGTTGACTTCACTGATGTTTTGTGTGTTTCCTGTTAAAAGGTGTGGGCAAAATGCACATGTTTGGATGTTGCTAATTCAGTTTTCTGTGTGCAGTCCTCTCTGTGCTCAGCACTCCTCGCTACAGCAGGCTCAGCGTGTAATGTGCTCTTTTGGAGATCCTGTGCGGTGGAGATGAGTCCCTGGGAGGCAGAGGCAGCGTAACGGCTACGTCACAACTCCCCGGTGTCCCGGCATTTATTTAATAATTTCCCTGAATGAAGGGAGGGAGGCACCCAGAGCACCAGGCCTGCTGACTGCGAGCCGTCTGCAGCTGTGTCAGGGCTGCTCAGCTGTGGATCCGAACCGAAAGCACACGGGGTTGTTTTTTTTTCTCCTGCACACCCAGTCAAAAACGGACACGGCAATAAACCCATGAAGGCAGTACCAATAAATTAATAAAAATGATTATTATAATAAAAACAACAACGACAATAATAATAATAATAATAATAATAATAATAATAATAATAATAATAA